CGGTAGATCAAACTTCTTTGCCAATTCACAAATTTTCATTTTTGTATCGAAGTCTTTAATAATGGGTATGTTCGTAGTCAAACGAGTTAAACGTGTTAGTAACGAATTGTTCGAAAAGTCTAACGAAATAGGAATAATGATGACGTCATTCTCATTTAACTCGCTCGACTTTACGAACATACCCAATGTTAACTTTACATTCCAAAGATAAAGTTTTTCTTTTCTTGTTTGATGCAGAAGAATTAGTTCTACTTCGTTTGGATGACATAGTAGAGTCTCTCAAGTCTCCATAGATATAACAAACACAGAAATAAATAACACAAAATAAATTGTAGCTATGTGTTGATTCCGCGCAACACATCCGAACATGTAAGCTGAACAATAGTGTGGGGAGTGAGTAATCAAGGGTTGCATGGCGCTCAAACAAAAGACGAATCGACGAGATTTGAAAATCACGTAACTACGGGTTCACGTAAGTCGGGGTATTACTGTATATGTTTTAATGTACAGTACATTCCAGCAGATCATTGAAGAACAACTTGTATTGAAATACTGTTTAAATTATTTAGTGATCTGAATCTGTTCATTTAAAATAAAATTAAGTAATTAACACTACAAAATAAAAGATCAAAAATCCAGCAGAAAATACAAAAATCTACAAAAGTAAATGTTTTCACCCATGTTAAATACTCATCATCAAACTAAAAGATTTCTTAATTTTTGAAATTTTTAGTCAAAAGCTAAAAATTCTGTAGATTTTTGAATTTCCTGCTGGACTTTTTTTTTTGTAGTGCTTAATTACATATACCCAGTTTGCATCCTTGAATAAAATCAATTAAATTAACAAAAAGAATTTTAAGATATAGATCTTATTATTTAAAAATTTATCAATATATAATGCTAAATTTTTTTAATGAATTTCTATGTTAGAAGTTTTTTAAAAAGTAAAATTGCATTCTCATTCCTTTTTAAAAGCTAGTATAGCATCATTTTATTTTAAAGTTTTTTATTTTTATTTAAAATTTTTTGAGTAGAAGAACTTAAAAATACATTTCAAATAGTATATTTTATAACTAATAGGGATAAAATATTGTTTACATTATTTTTATATAAAATAGGAAAAACAATTGAATTCATAGTTGTAATTTAAACGTTATTATTTTAGCTGTAGTTTTATTTGGAGAACCAGTAAGGTGGGAAACAAGTTTACAATTGATCATAGATGTTTTAATGACAAATGGTTTGCCATGTGATGCTCCTCCTTCAATTCCATATCCACACCTTCCTGTTTTAGCATGTAATATGGATCTTCAATGGATGGCAGAAGCTTGCATAGCACGGTAAGTGAATATTTTTAATTTCTCATAATTTATTTTAATTAAAATTTTTATGAATAGAGCAAGTAAATAGAGCTAATTTTTAAATTTTAGCTTTTTATTTTTAATTTTTCATTTCTACAAGAATTTTTTTTTCTCATTTTCTTGAATAAAACAGAAATTTCATTACTCCTATGCTTGCATTCATACATGATATTACTAGATAATTTAATTAAATATTCCCTAGCATAATTTTTGCATAGAAAATTTTAACATAGTTTTGAAATAATTTCTATATTTTATATTGTAATTTCTAATATTTACTTAGGAATTAAAATAAATGTAATGTACTAAAATAGTTTCATTTTAAAAAATTATGTTTTTTTTTAATGTAAAATTATATTTAATTTTATTTCTATTAACATTTATCTTTTTGACAATATTTAGATTTGGCCATGGTGCATTTTTGGTTTGTCTGGAGAATCTTTATAAGGTAATTTTAATTATTTAACATTTACCAGTATTAATATTCATACATGTATGTTTTAAAATACATTTATTCTGCGCATCAAAAATGTAGAAATAATCATAAATTTTGAAATATTTAACAAAATATATACTATAAATTACATGAAATTTGATATAAAGGTCTATTGTTTATGGGGTAATAAATGATGTATAAACAAAATATTCAATTTAGTTTTACTTGCAAATACACTGGTTAACTTGAACCGGGATAACTCAAAGTCATTTTCTTCCCCCAATTGTCCAGCATAGGGATTTACGTGTTAAATTAAACTGGTTAACTCAAATTTCTCAAGCGGTTTAACTTGAATGGAGTTTTGATACAGTATTTTCATAAACTAACTCTTCAGAATTTTAATTTTTCATTAAATAAAATAATTAATGTTTATCTATTGAGTAAACTAATCAGAAACTTTCTATAAAGCTCAGGAACCACATATGACTAAAAATAAATGTTGTGTCACATGACAGTGGGCAGGGATGGAACTTTTTTTTTTTGTTTGATTGCTGATGGATTTTTGAGTAGCCAACATAATAAATAAATTAAACACTACATACCATGCATACCTTTAATTTATCTATGTTCCAGCTGTTACAGACTTTTATGTTGTAACAACTAAATGAATTTTTGATAAATTAATTTACAAAGAAAAGATTATATCTTGATTCTATGTAACAATTTTAACCTTTGTGGCAAAATTTAAAAAATGTAAAAATAGTAAAGAGTAGTTTTTGTGATAAAAAATAATATATATTTATCAATTCTAAATATAAAATATGAGTTAAAAAACATCATATTATATACTTAGGAGTGATGGATCAACAATTCAGGAAAGCATTTTTCAGTAGCTAATTTAACCATTCAGTTAAGCATTTTCAAGTTTCTGGACAACACCAAGAGGTTTACATTGACATAATGATTCTATGTAAGAAGACTCGTAGAAATATTATATGGATAGTTTATTATGGGTCACCAATGAATTGATTTACAAAATCTTGATTTTTAGCCAAACCTCATAACTCGAAACTTTTTAATTTGAAGTTCAAATTTTTTCCCTGATCAATTCAATATGGGCTAATAATAAAAATTAAAATCATTTTTTTTCTTCTTTTATATAAAATCATTGCAATTATTCATGACATAAATGTTCTAAAGAGAGCAATGAAAGTCTAAAATGAATATGCATTTATAGGTAGAAGTTCTTGATAAGAAAAAACTTGTTGATATGGAAAATAAGATAAAAATTAATTCTGTAATACAATTTTCTAAACAGACAAATACAACGCATAAAATAATAATTAGATAACTTTGTCATTAAAAAACAAAAATAATAATAAATGACCATGAAAAAGCAACATGAAACAAAGTCATGTTGCTTTGCAAAAAATAAATATATTAATATATTATATTAATATTAAAATATAAGTGCAAAAATAAATATATATATATTTATATAAAATTATATAAATTTATTTATTTTTCTAGAAAATTACAGGAAAAGATATTATTTATACAGCTTTAGTTGGGAAACCAAGTGAAATAACTTATCATCATGCTGAATATTGTGTACAACAGCAGGGCAAGAAATTAGGTGTAGAAAATTCAGTGAGAAGACTTTATGCTATTGGGTAAGTTTTATTATCATATGCTTGTAAAATTAACTTAATTCTTTCAATTGTCAAAATATTTAATGTGAATAGAATGTGATCAATATACTTTATATCATTAGTTATGTGAAATAACATAGATGTAGATTAATTTATATTTAATATAAATAGATAAGAATTAATACTACTTAATAGAATCTTTACAAATAAATTCATTACAATTATGTGGAAAAATAGATGATCTCCTCAATTTTAGAATTTTTTTTACCAGTGGAACTGTTTTATTAGAAACTGTAAAAAAATAATAGGCATGTTTTTATTATCAGATGGTATTTTACATCAATTATATTAAAATAACTGATAATGTTTAAAGCTGTTATATTAATATGTTTATTTTATCAAAATATGTTATAATTTGGAAAAACTTAATTGAAAAAAAAATATAAATGAAGTATTGGAAATAATAATTGAATAAAGCAAGATACTTTTAAAAATTAATTTTTAGAATTAGATAAAATATTAAGAATATTAGACTTTTGAATAGTTAAATGATTAAATTTAATTTACAAGTAAAATATTTAAGAAAATAGTTTAATATTTGACACAAAATGTTTTGGTAAAATTTCTAAAATGTAAATATTGTTAAATATTAACTTAGTTGTTGTTAATTCTTCTCTCATTAATTACATTGATTTCTTTCTGGTCTAAGAATGCAAATTTATTAAAGAAGTTTATTGACAATCTCTTTATTACTTATTTATTTTATATACTCCATATAGGATTTTTCCTATAGGAAGAGGGGTTAATACATTTAATGACGTTTATCATAAAATTATATTTTTTGCAAACTTTCTACGGAAATCCTGTTCCCAGTAGAAATACAAATGTCAGGACAATCTTCAGTTGGACAAATTTGTCAGTTGGACAAATTTTTCACAATTAAATAATGATTCAAAGTAGCATTTCCCTGTATATAATAAAAACATCTGTCAGAAAATAAAATTAACCTTAAATTTTTTTCAAGTTAAACATGTGACCACAGGGTCGGCACCTCTTTGGCGCTCTGTCAGGATGACACCACTGTGTCCTGTAACAGACACCGGAGAAATCGGCCGTTTATTTGGTTACGTGAACGGTCGCGTTGTGGACTTTTAGTTCCGGGATGGAGGCGTAAAGAGAGAATCAGAGGACTTACACTCTACATAATCTATACATAATGCCCATTTATTGTTCGAATTAAGCTATATACAATCGCTTCAGTTAACATATCTATTTCCTTCCCAGTTACCCGTATTCCTGAGAGAGAGAGCTCACATGTATTTCGCGTGAGGATAAATACCTTGTTATAAATTGTCGATTAGTCGTTTCATCCTTGAGTCTCTAGACTTCACAAAGTTCTTTCGAACGTTGTTAGTCGGTTTAGGCGTAGTCCTTCCGAACAGCGACGATTGATTAGTTCCGGGTAGCGGCTAATCCGTTCACGTAAAATTCACAGTGCACCAAACTCCAGAGACTGACTCTTACCCATCAACCCCTCCTTTTTATAAAGGGGATCTCGTTGGGTTTTTTCCACTGCCTTATTAGGACTGTTTTTTCACCACTGACCAATAGTCTTTTCGAGATTTCGGGTGACACATTCGATGTATCATACTTGACAAGGAACTAAGTTCGTGGGAAAAGATTTTTGTTCTTTTTTTATATCGGTTTGTTGTTTATTTCTTTAAACTTTTCCTCCCTCAACAAAAAATTTATTTCCTAAATTCGACTCTCACAAACAAAATATATTTAAACATATCTGAGCAATCATTTTCTTAACTACATAAGGCAATAGTTTATTGTCAATCTTTTTATTATAATAAATTGTATATAATCTCATTTTTAATCACTTTTTCACTAAAATTTTCTAAAGAAATAAATTTAGCATAATTTTTTCAAATATATATCATAAAAACAAAGAAAGAACAAAATCAAGAGAAATTTTTCTCTTTCAGATTTACTTAGAATTTAAGTCTTTTTTTTATGTTGAAGATATATTAAATGGTAAAATTTTTTTTCATAGAGACAATATAAATACCGATATCTATGGAGCCAATCTTTACAACAGATATGTACAGAAGAGAGCTAAATTAAGAAGAAAAGAAAAACAAACCTTAGCAGCTCATTTTTCTGGAGGTTTGGGTACCAGAACTGTACATTCTTCTGTTGGTTCCAGAGTTGATATTATTAGAGATTCTGATATGAATTTAGAGGTATTTTTTTGAATATTTTAAATTATTATTCTGAATTTGTAAAAAATAATTTATAAACAAACATTAAATTTTTAATTAATTTAATGGTAATTTGACTAAAACAAAATTTGACATGTATGTTATGTACAAATACTAATATTATTTTGTATTTGAAATTCAGGTAAATGAAGGAGTGGTAAATTGCCAGTCAGTTTTAGTTCATACTGGTGTATATAATGAAGATTTCCAAGATGATGATTGTGATCATTCTCCCAGGGATTTTCTTCCAGCAGAAGTCAGTTTGAAAGAACCAACTCACAGAGTAGAAAATGTTTTAANATTAATTACATTGATTTCTTTCTGGTCTAAGAATGCAAATTTATTAAAGAAGTTTATTGACAATCTCTTTATTACTTATTTATTTTATATACTCCATATAGGATTTTTCCTCTAGGAAGAGGGGTTAATACATTTAATGACGTTTATCATAAAATTATATTTTTTGCAAACTTTCTACGGAAATCCTGTTCCCAGTAGAAATACAAATGTCAGGACAATCTTCAGTTGGACAAATTTGTCAGTTGGACAAATTTTTCACAATTAAATAATGATTCAAAGTAGCATTTCCCTGTATATAATAAAAACATCTGTCAGAAAATAAAATTAACCTTAAATTTTTTCCAAGTTAAACATGTGACCACAGGGTCGGCACCTCTTTGGCGCCCTGTCAGGATGACACCACTGTGTCCTGTAACAGACACAGGAGAAATTTCTCGGCCGTTTATTTGGTTACGTGAATGGTCGCGTTGTGGACTTTTAGTTCCGGGATGGAGGCGTAAAGAGAGAATCAGAGGACTTACACTCTACATAATCTATACATAATGCCCATTTATTGTTCGAATTAAGCTACATACAATCACTTCAGTTAACATATCTATTTCCTTCCCAGTTACCCGTATTCCTGAGAGAGAGAGCTCACATGTATTTCGCGTGAGGATAAATACCTTGTTATAAATTGTCGATTAGTCGTTTCATCCTTGAGTCTCTAGACTTCACAAAGTTCTTTCGAACGTTGTTAGTCGGTTTAGGCGTAGTCCTTCCGAACAGCGACGATTGATTAGTTCCGGGTAGCGGCTAATCCGTTCACGTAAAATTCACAGTGCACCAAACTCCAGAGACTGACTCTTACCCATCAACCCCTCCTTTTTATAAAGGGGATCTCGTTGGGTTTTTTCCACTGCCTTATTAGGACTGTTTTTTCACCACTGACCAATAGTCTTTTCGAGATTTCGGGTGACACATTCGATGTATCATACTTGACAAGGAACTAAGTTCGTGGGAAAAGATTTTTGTTCTTTTTTTATATCGGTTTGTTGTTTATTTCTTTAAACTTTTCCTCCCTCAACAAAAAATTTATTTCCTAAATTCGACTCTCACAAACAAAATATATTTAAACATATCTGAGCAATCATTTTCTTAACTACATAAGGCAATAGTTTATTGTCAATCTTTTTATTATAATAAATTGTATATAATCTCATTTTTAATCACTTTTTCACTAAAATTTTCTAAAGAAATAAATTTAGCATAATTTTATCAAATATGTATCATAAAAACAAAGAAAGAACAAAATCAAGAGAAATTTTTCTCTTTCAGATTTACTTAGAATTTGTCTTTTTTTTATGTTGAAGATATATTAAATGGTAAAATTTTTTTTCATAGAGACAATATAAATACCGATATCTATGGAGCCAATCTTTACAACAGATATGTACAGAAGAGAGCTAAATTAAGAAGAAAAGAAAAACAAACCTTAGCAGCTCATTTTTCTGGAGGTTTGGGTACCAGAACTGTACATTCTTCTGTTGGTTCCAGAGTTGATATTATTAGAGATTCTGATATGAATTTAGAGGTATTTTTTTGAATATTTTAAATTATTATTCTGAATTTGTAAAAAATAATTTATAAACAAACATTAAATTTTTAATTAATTTAATGGTAATTTGACTAAAACAAAATTTGACATGTATATTATGTACAAATACTAATATTATTTTGTATTTGAAATTCAGGTAAATGAAGGAGTGGTAAATTGCCAGTCAGTTTTAGTTCATACTGGTGTATATAATGAAGATTTCCAAGATGATGATTGTGATCATTCTCCCAGGGATTTTCTTCCAGCAGAAGTCAGTTTGAAAGAACCAACTCACAGAGTAGAAAATGTTTTAAGTGCAGTAGAACTGATTTTTGAAAGAGAAAGTTTTGTTTGATAACAAATATTCATAGATGTATTATAAAATTGCTGACGTTGCTACTAATACTAAAAAGCTTATTTTTAGATCCTTTCCTGTTAATGTTAGATATTGTACTTATTTAGAAAAATTTATTTATTGTTTTTATTTCTGAAATATAACAATATGTAATTATCTAAATTTCAAATATTCTAGCTCTGACAAAATAACATCAGATGTATTGTTTACTGTTATTTCTGATTATAAATTATAGAGTATAGTTCATTCAGTGGATTATAATTTAAGTTGTAAATAGCTATTTTAAAAAAATGGAAATCCTAAGAAACATTTTGAACAAATTGGAAAGAGATTTGTATATCTATTTATTTTAATAAATATATTTTTTATCCCTAGTATTATTTGATGGAAAAAAGTGATAATTTTGTGCATTCTCAGCATTTTAAAGATGTATTGTATTTCTTTCACCATGCATTGCTGTTTGCACAATATTTAATATTAGATATTAGTATTATGTTAATCCTGTGATATGGTCATCCTGTAGGAGATACCAATTCAATTGATATCTTTTGTTGACAAAGATCTACTGTCTTTATTTCACTTGTATATATTGATATATATATATATATATATATATATATTATACTGTAATGAATAATTATGTTTTGTCTTAAGTTATGTTATTTTCATGAAATAAAATCTTTTATATTTACTAATTTTGATTTTTAATTAAATAATTACATAATGACTTTGACCAAGTTACAGGTGGGCAACCTTTTTAAGTGCATGTGCCAAAATCACCAAATGTATGATGCAAAATTTTCTTGCATGCCAACTGAAATATTTTGGAGCATATTATTTGGTCTAGTGGCTAGATGATTATACAGGAAAGCTAATGCTAATTTAAGCAGATTTTCTGCCAAATTGACAACTCTGCTTGTAAGTCAGATGTCTTGGAAATAGGATGTTTGTTTTATTGAGCTGCAATTTGAAAAAAACTGTAGACACACGTTTCCACTGTCGTCCGTCTGGTCATCTGTCCTTAATCTCGAGAATGGTAAAACAGATGAAAGATGAGACCAGATATGGAAACCTTAGGGGCAGGAGCACCCGATTCACTTCCGATGCAAACCTGAAGTCATGTTATTACAATTCAAAAATTTCCCCCTGAAAGGTATTAGATAGATGACTAGCACGACTCTATTGTTAAAGGAAAAGTATGATGTAAACTATCCACTATCAGAGCCGGTCCTACCATAGGGCGAACGGAGCAGCTGCTCCAAGCGCTAATCCCTAGGGGGTGCCTCAGTGGTAAAGAAAATTAAAGAAAAAAAATTTTTTTTTACTTTTCAATATTTTAATTTCAAGCGTGTGGCCAGTATGTGAATGGCCTTATCTGTTGAGACGCACGTGGGTCGAGTGCGTAGGAGGGGGTTCCACCCCGCCTAGGTTACACAACCAGAGTTGCCACCGCAGGCGTCGCTGTTTTAGTTGGCAAGCAATGCGATATCAGTACAGTACGCTGAAGTAAAAAGTACATTGGAAGAAGAGAATATCGACAGTCAACTGATACCGTGGCAAGTGCAGAAGCTAAATCGCTTGCAGACAATTTGGAGAAGTTCGAGTTTTTGTTGTCGTTAGTCATTTGGTACGACGTTTTATTCCACGTCAATCTTGTCAACAAATCCATGCAATCAGAGCGCGTAGACCTGTCAGATGCAACAAAAATGATGCACAAATGTTTGAAATTTTTGAAAGAATATAGAGACGAAGGATTAACAAAGGCTCTCATTGCAGCTAAGGACATAGCTAAAGAAGCTGAAATAAGCCCGGAGTTTGAAACAATCCGCGCACGAAAAAAAAAGAAAATGTTACCATATGAAAATGAAGATGACGCGCCAATGGATCCAGAAACGTTATTCAGAACAAATGTTTTCTATCCTATGTTAGACACTGCCATAAACTCAATAGAGACACGCTTCAAACAACTTAGTACAATTAATGAGACTTGGTCTTTCCTCTATGATTTGAATAAGACCGATGAAAATTTGAAAGAAGCTTGCTTAAAGTTGAAGGAAGAACTAACTCATGATCATAATTGCGATATTTCGGGATTGGAGCTTTCAAGAGAAATTATGTGTTTAAAAATGTTTTTAGATATTGATAAAGGTCATCCGAAAGCAATCCTTCAGATCTTAGCATTAAATAATTGGCAAGATACATTTCCTAATATTTGGACAGCTGTCCGGATTTTTGTAACTATTTCGGTTATGGTGGCCAAAGGTGAACGGAGTTTTAGCAAGCTTAAGCTAATTAAAACGTACAGTACTTTGGGTCGATTCTTGCAGAAGACAAGCTTTCTGATCTAGCCTTGCTGTCCATTGAAAATGATATAGCTAAGACATTATCGTATGAGGAGATCATAAAAAAATTTTGCAAATGCAAAAGTGCGTAAGCGGCGATTTAATTAAAATTTGTTCTCCAGGTGATTTAAGTCGTTTATTATTATTGTTATTAGGAGGAGCCTATAGCCTAAATAGTTAAAAATTTTATAAGTATCATTACATTAATTAGTGAACATAATAAATAAGTACCAGAACCAAAGATGATTATGCTTATTGATCTTATCAATGAATGTTGACTGAATTTTCTTTTACTAGTTAGTAAAATAATTTTTATAATGAGTGATCTCATTATAAAAATAATATTTGTGATAAATAAATGTACCTTAATCCTACATATTTTTTTCATTCTATATGAATTGTTCCTGTTGGTACTGTGAGGAGTGCAGTGCCAACGAGTAAGGCTATTTTCAATCGACAAATTAGACAGATAATTAAGATGTTGTCGAGATCTTCCAAGTTACTTGCTGGCATGCATCACTGGTATAAATTAGGGGCAACCAAGGGGGACGCCATAATAGGATCTCGCTCCATCCTGAAACTTGCTTCGGGCCGGCACTGTCGATGGATTATCTGGTCACCGATTGCAAGCAGAGTCGATAGATATACCGGTACTTCGCTGCCAATAGCTCCAATGCTACGATACTGGCGTAATAAATATTTCTACCACTTCGATCGCTTCAATCACTTAAAGACGTAAGTTTGGCTGGAGTATAGGGAAAGTCAGTTGTAAATATTCAAAATTCTTTTAATATATGAAATTTTCTTGTTTTTAACTCAGATATTGCTTTTGTCTTTTAAAAGGACTGCTTATAAATACTATTTTAATTCGGTTTTCAACATTATTTATTCGTAAATGTTAATATTTATATTTGTATTAACTGTCACTTTCACTATTTTAGATTTTAAATTGATTAGACTATTTGTTTTTTGCTTACAATTTGTGTTCATTTTTAAATATATTTTGGGAGTTTTCGTTAAGAGTAAGAAAAGATATTCAAAAAATTTATAGTTACGTTATTAATATTTATAGTATACATTATTAATTTAATATGAGATGCCTTCGGGATTCCCGAGAACTGAATCAGGAAGAAAAGGAATTGATGAAAATTATATACATTAAATTACGGAAATGTATAAAAATGTTAAACCATGTGTTAAGACAGGATAAATTTAAAGTGTTACAAAAAAGCGATATAGGTGGCCCACTCACGTGGAGTGGGCATAGTCGAGCAAAAATATCACGTGATGAAGCTACCTGTTCCTTATCTGTCTTCGGTAAACAGCAAATTTCTTTGAAAATAAATTTTCATTCTTAATTTAAAATGTCAAAATCACAAGTTAAACTGAAAAAAATACGAAACATTATGTAAAATAAGCTTTAAAGTTTTCCGTTTCCTATGAGCATTAAGAGGGCCTTTAAATAAAGTTCAATTGTGGAACTGACCGGATTTGGCGTGGAAAATATCTTAATCTACGCGGAAAAAGTAAAAATAAAATAAATATAGGCCTATATATATATCGTAAAAGTTTATGCACGCGCTTGTTATGTCACGATGATTTCATCGGCTGCAACAATAATTATCTTATATTGTTTTGTAAGAGAAGAAAAAAACGTTAGTATCGTTTTAACATTCAATAAAAGATCATGCAGACAAGAGACGAAAGAATTTCGGAAAGTTATCAAGTTATCAAGGTTTTTCTTTTTTTAGCAATTCTAAACAAATTATATTGATCGATAGTTTTATGACTTTCTTGACGATCGTATAGGTCAGTGGCGCGTTATCCTATGGGCAGAAAGGGCAATTTCCTGAGGTCCCTACCAGTAGAGAGCTCAAAACCAATCTTTTATAAGAAAATGTTATCACAGAAGTCAATACTGTACGTGGGGTCCCTAATTCATATTTGCTTGGGGTTCCCATAAAGCTATAACGCGCTACTGGTACAGGCCCAATACGATCTGCTTATTTTAAACCGTTGTTTTAAAAACACTACTCAACAAATGTTTTATTTATTTAAAAAAATTTTTATTATATTCATGAAAATTTTATTTTATTTTCATTCGTATCACCTTCAATTCTTCCTGAAATATTTTGAAACACATCGAAATTAAAAGCCGCTATAATTTATCTTCGGTTCTTACATTAATTAGCTTTTCTTCTTTTAATTCTTCGTCCATTGGACATTAACAGCGTATTTTTTCTGTGGCCACAATGAGGGTAACGCCTCGCTTATCTCAAACGAAATTCACTTAACTTTGTTTCATGTCAGATTTTTGTGATAGATGATTTTTTTTATTGGTCAAGGCTTCGTTGCTCGATTACACTAGCCGACTCAACAGACTTGTGTAACTCATATACAGTACTGTAAATCATATTGTACTGAATCCTCATTAACTTGTAAGATCGTTATTGTGCGCTATTCAATTATCGTAACTAAAATGCTTGTTTTTATAATATAATGCTATTGTGTTTTTCGTTATGAATAATTACAAAATATTAGAAATTAACATTTGTAAATAGAAAAGAATCATTATAACTATCTCATTCACAAATTACTGGAGTAATCAAGTAAAAATAAAAACAAAACCTTTAATAACCAGTAACAGAACATATAGCGATAGAACATGGTTATAGAAGAGGCCTGGTACGAAGTTTAGCCCGCACATACTCCAACCATCTTGCCGCATACAACGTTCCCAACACCCAGACTACTACTAGCAGAAGTCAACAATGCATCTCAGGGCAAACATTCGGGCAAAGTTAATCTATATTAATTTCATCTCATACACTATGTCTATCTTAAAAATGTATATGTGTGACATGGTCGCACTTTTACGATTTTTAGCCTATCTAACGTATGAATTTGGCATATGTTGTGAGATATTCGAAATTTTTAACATTCGAACATTATCGTTCTTACATTACAGTTTGGAATTCTGTTTCGTTAAAAAAAACCTGAGGCAGACCTTGGTGAAGGCCGAAAACATTCGTAATTTGTCGTTAAGGTTCTGTTACTGGTTATTAAAGGTTTTTGTTTTTATTTTCATTAAAAAACAATCATTTCTTTTGACGTTCGAAAATCATTTTGTGGGTTTTTAAGTCTTTTTTTCTTGTATTTTTTCGTCAAGAAGGACTCACTAACCGTAGAAATAGACGAAGGACAACCGTGTCTAAGTGCAAGAGTCAATGCCCGGGTTATAAATCTCACGTTTGGAGGTAGACATTCGAAATATATAAGTGAATAACGATTAAATATGCCACGATAATTTAACTTTGTTTTCCTGTTAGAGCTATCTGCGATCATTGTAAATGCGTGCGTGAATGCCACGAAATTCGTCGCGATGGCGCGTTTAACGCCCGAGCTTGGATGGGACTTAAGGATCAACTCGAACAAAACGGAGTAGAAGATAAACGGACTGCCGTAGAGGAAGGATATTCGTGGGTACCACCAGACTTAGCTCCAGACAAAGTAAGAAATTATGGTACAAAGACAATTCGACTGAAGTTACAGACTTGTCATCTCGATTATTGGTTTTCGTATTTTCAGATTCAATCGTACTTCGCGCGGATTCCTTCCGGAAAAGTACCTAAATCTGGAACTCCCGGTGGAAAAACTCGTGAAAAACAACTAATTATAAAACTTCCCGATAAACACTTTTCTATGAAAATCTGCAAATTTTTAAAGAAGGTGTATCAACAGCTTTGTATAGACTTTATTAACGAACACGATAAAACAGCAATGGATATCGCTTATGTCAAAAGTGCTATGGAACGTACAGTACTGTACTTCTGTAAAGATGCAAACAAATGTAACGACGACGTATACAAACTCACATTAACGTATACATTTTTTACACGTGAAATAAATAAACAGTTTATCAGAAAAAGAAAATCAAAAGATTATTTAAAAATAAAAATGAAGTTTGGCATAGGTATAGTAAGAAAAAGTCATGGCTTTGACTACTTTTGTCAACTTTAATTAATTTTTTTTTTGCCTATTGTTTATTTATTTTTATTAATTCTCTAAAATGTCAAAAAAATATGTATAAATTCATAAATGTAAAAAAGAGTTTTGAATATTTAATGTTTTACAAATGTTTTTGTGAAATAAAAAAATTATATTAAAATTTGTAAATAATTTTAAAGATATTAATCATAATACAGATTGTATTAAAACTTTTATAATGAAGTTTATGCAAAACACATATAAGCCATATAAAACCTAAAATTGTTTTAATGCAATTTTCACTTCAGCTTTAAAAATTATCAAATTAAAGATGAAAATGATCTAATCCATCTTCATCACAACTTATTTGTTTGATGGAACCAAAATGTCCAATCTCACCATAAACAGAATATATATTTTTAATAATTATCTATTTATATCCAATGAAATGTTATGTATACATAACAATGCTTAAAATGTTTCAAAATTTTTATAGATGTTAATGATTTACTGTATAATAAACTTTATTGTGTAATTTGTAACAACTAGACAATGACAATGATCATGACGTTTAAAAATTTTAATTTTTAAACGTCTGAACTTTTTTATTTAATAAATGACTTGAAATCAATACGAACTTAATAATTTAAAACCTTTAAAAGTAGACTAATTTAAATAACTATATGTTTTTATTTGACTGACATAGAAAGTAATGAAAATTTCGTTAGATTCAAAATTATTTAGATAAACTGAATTTGTCCGCCGCTTTTTAAATATAACCGGTCACTATATAAAACAAAAGTTTATGCAAAATTGATTTTTTATGCATTTTATGTATTATTAGTTTTTATTCGTCTATACACTACTAATATTATAAAGAGGTAATGTTTGTAAGTAAGTAAGTTTGGATGTAGCGGGTAATCTCCGAAACTACTCATCCGATTTCAAAAATTCTTTCACCAATATTTAGAATGGAACTTCAGGCTGAATGGACATAGGCTGTATATTATTCCGTTAAACATTCATATAAATTAAAAGATATCATCTATGGTTAAGGCTTTTATGTCCAACAGATGGCGCTACGAGTACGACGACCTAAGTTTGCTTTTTTGTGAGGCATTATGCTTTTCTGTGAGGATGAACTAAAGCAGATCATATTCTATCTATCTATCTACATAAATAAAAATGTAATGTCCGTTTGTTCCTACCGATTCGTTTGAAATTTTGACACAACGCTGCATTCAAATACGCACGTGTTTTTATATAATACTAGCTTACCCGTCGCGCATTGCTGCGATCTCAGAAGAGATGAAATTCAAGCAAACTCGTTATAATAAAATTAAATTTTCATTTTATCATTTTTATTGAAATATATTATTATTATTCGTTTTCATCGGGAAAACATTTCAAAGTGTCGTTTCAATTCTATTTATTTATTGGAATGCTCGTGGATACACGATATTTTTTGTTTTTTCGTCTGGTGCGTACACGAATAATTCGGAAGGTTTTCCGACGCGTGAGCTGGCCACATACAGTTGTCCATGCGAGAAGCACGGATTCTCCAAATTTAGCCCACACACTTGCAGCGATTGTCAAAAGCGCGATATTCCCCATTTATATATATATTTTTAAATCCTTTATAATTTTAATTATTTAATTGCTCCTTCCTCTCTTCCTTGGCATGTTGTGAAATTTCTGATAGTTAGATAATAAACCGTTTTATTGTAATTTGTCTTTTTAAATTATTTTGAGTCGATATTAAAATTTGAAAAAGGGGGATACCTAGATCGGTAAAATAGGCGAATTTCTTCCTACAACTTCGGTCGTTGTTCGGGGTACAGTTAAGATTTTAACGAAGTTCGAGCGAAAACATAATTAGCAAAAAAAGTCGAAATAAAGTGATTAAACAAAAATGATTACAAATATCGTAAATAACAGTTCACAAATGCATATATAGAGATATTTTTTGAAGGGGGGAAATGGTCTTCACAATTTGAAATCGATCGAACACACTGTGCGCGAATGCTCGTGTAAACGCGCGCCATCTATCGTAGGATAAATGTACTTCGCGGGAGTGTATTAAAAAATTAAAAAAACTTTCCAAAGTTTTATGGCAATCGTACTATGCCACAAACCTTCGCCAGAGTATATTAAATAACTTCCCAAAGTTTCACGGCAATCGGATAAACGGTGTGGCAATGCATGAAGGACACACACACACACACACAGACACACATACATTCATTTTTATATATATAGATACATGTCGATATTCTCCCGCGGGGGAGAGAGACATGATTAAGGCTTACCGTGAAGAACTTGGCTTCTATTATACTATTTTAGATGCGTTTTTTTGCGTTTTTGATTGCGTTTTAATAGGATATCTCAACAGAATGTACACTAAGAAGGGATTTTTCGAAAAATTCCCCCCATGGGGAAAGTGTTATACATTTATAATAGATACATTTTGAGCCACAACAACGTGTGGCGGGGTCTGCTAGTTTATTTTAAACTAACTTGTATTAAATAAGAATATTAATAGGAAGATTAGTTCTGTAAAATACAGTTGCTGATGCAATTACTGGTATTATAACATTTATTTTACACCTATACAATGCTTTTCTGCATAGGGTGTAAACAAACCAAGAACCCAAACGAATGCAGTACACCTATCGACAAACTTGTTTATTACCTCTACATTTAAGGGTAAAAACAATAGGCATTCAGAGACCAGATAATCCATTGACTCTGCCATTACTAATTTGAGGTGGAGAGCGCATATTTTAAATTGAATAAATTAAAAACATGATTAAAAATTGCATCCTGGCATTGTGATAATGTCACAATAAATGTATCATTATTCAAAAAAATAATTTTTTTGGTACAGATAGGTTGTTTGACATTGATATGACGTGATCAGGCCAGTAATCAATTTATCCTTTTGTCATAACCCATTCCATTAACCTCTGGAAGTGGTCATCTTTGAAATAGCAAAGTTTGGCCTTTATCCTGTCTTCCAACTCCTTTTCAGACCAGATTCCCAACCATTTTCATAGACTCTACTTCAGTTGGTACCAATATCTCTCAATCAGTCTCAATTGTAGAACGTTTGGAGCATTGGCTTCACGCGAGAGGTATCAAATTTTATAATGGTTCAACTTGATAACTATGTCATGAGCAAAGTGGGTTATAACCATGTCTGGCTAGAAGATATATCTTAGTCATAGTAGTATTTCTTAAGAAAAGATGCTAGTTTCTTCTGAATGTATTTGTTGCCATACACTTTGGTGATGGAGAGCCATGATGGGGCAATGAAAACTTGTGAACGTCCATTTGGACTAATTGCCAACCAAACCAGAAATTTTGGCTAAAATTTGAAGTATCATTTGAATTTGACTTCGATATCCATATCTATTTCTTTGATGAAATGATTGTTACCAGGACATTCACTTCAATCAAAAGTGAAGTAGGACTTGTCAATAACCATAAAGATTTTAAAAAATTGCCGGGACGAATTTACTTTTACAAAAAATATATAGTTCTTGAGACTATACATACAGGATGAGGCAATTTCATTCGGTCCCTTCACACGCACACAATTCAACTATTTTAACTTTTTTGCATTGGATGGCGGACGAGTAGCCTATACTGAAAGGGCGACTCCGCCGTGGAATTGTTATTACCTCAACAGTGTGTGAAAGGACCGAATGAAATTGACTCATCCTGCATGTATAGTCTCAAGAAATATATATATTTTTGTAAACGATAAAGATAAATAACTTGCGAATCACCTGACATTTCTTTAGAATCCTATGTAAAATTTTGAACTTGCTTTAAAATTTTCTAAATGTTTGTCAAATTTTTCCCAAAGCATCTTCCTCCAATTGGTTTGATTCCTCTTCCTTTGTCATTTTCCTCCTCTTTCGGCCATTTCTGTTCTACTTTCTGCAGACTCCCCTTGCTCTAACCTTGAAATGATGCTATACGCCATAGAACTCCCATTGCAGAGAAATGTTTAATTGTATCAAGTCCGTGCGAGTTGACGCAAATTTGCCTGCAATCAAGCAGTAGATTCAAGTCAGTCCTTTTGACGATATGTAAGCAAGCCCGATGGACGAAGAGCATATTCTTGTTTGATATTTCGTTTCATGATTCGCAAAGCCCATACGCAGTCGATCATCAATCCGTGGTAATCATCAGCAGCAGTCGAAAGCAAACAGTCATAGGACTAGTTTCTATCTACACATCGAAGTAACCATCTGGACTCGTTTACGTGAGACTTGAAATTTTCCATTTTAGCGATTTTTAATATAAAATGTATCAATTACATTTCTTCGATCAAATTCATTTAATCGTTCCATTCTTAAAAAGAACGTTGTCTATGTAAACTTTTTCGATGAATAGCCAATCAAGGAGGATCAAGAACATTCTATAATAAATGTGCGCTATTTCGTGGCATGTGCTATTATTCGAAATTACCAGAAAACGCTATTGAAATTGTACAAATTTTATGATACACACTCGTATATGCCGTACAATAATCAATTTTAGCATTTACATTAATTAGGAAATTTCTTTTTGTATATGTTACCGCTAAAGCTCGAAATCCGTTAATGTGCGCATTACCTAGCTAATCTGCAGATTAACTAGGGTGATCCGTTAAAGCTGCGAAAATTATTCCATTTCTCAAATCACCTAGGTAATGTTCAGATTATCTAGGTAATCTGCAAATTACCTACTAGGCACTCGGTAAAGTGAAAATAAGATCTTTGCTGGAACAACAGCAACGTTTATGTACGCTTAAATTAATATAATGTTATTTATTTAATTTTCAATATCTAAAGAATCAAGTTAATACAATCAACAAATTAGTTGATCGAATCAATCATCAATCAATTAAAAAAACTTTAATACAAAAATCAAACTGTTTAAAATATTACTACAATTAGGGAAATGAATTTGCAAAACATTTGATAAAATTGTACTTACTTATTAGTGCAATCTAAAGATTGGTGACACTAAATTACGTAGCAATTGGTTTTTGCGACAAGCACGCCTATTTGTGGTACATTTAGATTTGCAGTCACATTTTCTGAAACCCTGCCTAGTACCAAGGAATTGTTTTATTGCCGTTTGACGTAAAGATATTTCTACAGCAGGGACATCCATCTTCTTTGGTTAAAAATCTCTCTTTGCAAACACCGAATTCAGATTTTGCATACAATTGTTTTAAAATACCTGTTTTAGTATCAAGTTTATAAAAGCCATCCTCTGTTTTACTAAGAACCACAGCTAAAATTGAACGTGCATCAGTTTTTGCTCTGTCTTCTTCGGGTACTTTAATTCTCACAGCGAAACCTTCATCGACGTTTGGGTGCTTTGCATTAGAAACTGCTAACATTTTCTTTGCTTGCTTTTCTAAACATTTCTTGGCTTCATCACGCTGTATTTTCTGATCCATATTCTTTTTACAGATGATGCACAATACATTCTTACCATACCCTTCCTCTTTAGGATCTACTTCACCACAAACTGCGTGAACAAACATATTACACGATTTACACTTGTGAGCACTTGATGCTGCTTTTGAGCAAACAATACAGACTATGTCTTGTATAGTGCTCTTTACAGGCTCCGTACGAAACTGTGATGGCGATTCTGCTGAAGTTGAGAGTAACTCAGTGATGACTTCTTCAACTTGCAGAGGCGATTCCTTGGAGGTGCAGGGTAACTGAATATTCTTCGTGACTGCATCATCAATCAACGGTATAGAAGGCAGTTTAAGATTACTATCGGTAAATTCTTGTATTTCTATAGGTGATTCTGTAGAAGCGGGGGATAACGGAATGTCCTCTTGAGTAAGATTTGACTGTGATCTCATAATCACAGTCTCTTGTGAATCTTCTAATTTTTCAAGGTCTTCTTCAGTTTTTATCGAATGTCAAACAATTCTCCGGCATGGACAAACTTTTTCAAACCTTTCTCGCGCATCTGACAACGGCTCAATGAGTTTTTCACAGCCTCGTACAGTCAACACATCACACCTTTGAATTATTTGATAATCTCGAGATGATTCTTTCTTCTTGGAAACTTTTATTTGCTTTACATCTTCAATTATGGAATCATACTTTGGTTTGTTATTAAAACACTACGTATTATATTTTAAATCTTCGCTAAAGAGGTTTGCGAAGAATCTTTTCTTGATTTTACTCACCAATTCGGTGCTTGCTTGCATTCTAGGATTTAAATTTATCTACGTAAAAAGAAGGAGTGGGGAAAGGAAGTGAAAGAAACAAACTTTTGAACTTTAACGATACGGAAGCCGTTAATGTGCAGATTACCTAGATACTCTGCAAATTACCTAGGTAATTTGAGAAATTGAACAATTTTCGCAGCTTTAACGGATCACCCTAGTTAATCTGCAGATTAGCTAGGTAATGTATACATTAACGGATTTCGAGCTTTAGCGGTAACATATACAATTATAACAAACTAAAACAGACTTATAGGCCTACTACTATTTAATTCTATTTTTTTTTTAATTAAAAAAAATTAATTATAGACAGAATCTATAGGATTTGATGCGATACAAACTATCCATAAAATGTAAATTGAAAAGTAGAACAAGTAATAATTAATTATTGACTCACGCTGTTTTCCTTATTCCCATTACGGGTTTCGAAAGGCCCACAACGAGACAACCGAGTACTTATTCCCACTTTATTTTATCAGGATAATTCTCGAATTAACCCGTAAAACTGAATTATGTTTACTCTATATCAGATTAATTTTCCATAACTGTCCATCAACATAGATTTATCACCACGAACAGCGGATTCCTTTCGGAAGATTAACGAGGACCATCCAAGACTTTAGAGAGATAACTACAACATACCGAACTATCGGTTTCTGCTTTATGTCAAATCACCTTCTACGACGATCGATGGAAATGCGTCACGAGTCAACATTTATTTTCTAAATATATTTAGTTATTTAATGTAAACAATCGTAAACAATATCTCAGATTGGCCGTTAGTCACGTAACTTTCACTCCGAGTATCTCGTTTAAATTCGTAACATTTAGAAAAAAGAAGACGAAAAAAACCTCAACGAATGTCGGCAATTAGCGTGTGGGTGTGAATGGATAAGGTCTTTAGTAATTCAACATGCCGGGTAGAAGGAAACGCCATCCACAGGAAGAAAGGATTCGGACGGAAGGGGCGTCGTATTTCTAACATGAATTTTCCGGGGAATATAGAACATTCTGCTAGTTCGATAATTATTGATGGATCTTCACATTCCCTATAATCATGGCCCATCTTAATTGTTTTTATATTTTTATTCTTCTAAACGGTAAGTTACTTTTCACTTTTTATAAACTCGATGTTGATACCGAAAGCGGATGCTCGCAAGGTTATGTATATTTTTATTCGGTAACGAAACTAAGCTCGTGATTTATTTTAGACTCGTTATCGAAACTTGGCAATGATTCTTGCTAAACCTGTTATTATTTTATTCGTTTCTTTTTTTGCAACGCCGATTTTTTAATTCGCGTTAATCCCTCCTGCAAAATTAGGAGAGAACATAAACCGGATTCTAAGCATTATCGAAAATTCTATATTTAGTAACATTGAATAATTAAAAATTCCACTTTGAATTAAAATAACTTTCTTTTTTCTTTAAAATTTCTGTAAATTCTAAAAAAGAAACTCGTTTTAGTTATTCGTAATATTCATTTATATTTTCGTATTAACACGAACAAACGACTGTTCAAAATATATTTATTTTAATGTTTATTTTATAAATTATTCTTACCAGAGATCGCCTGTAATCTTCCTTAACGAGAAAAAACATTTTACAATGTTTTGACTGTGTAGAAAGATAACCTCACCCACTGCTATGGAAAAAAGGTTGGGTCTATTTCCCCCTAATTCATTATCTATAGATTCACATCTGTCGTATCATTCGGTATTCGATCAACCGGTATAAATAAATCAAAAACTGATTGGCGAATTAAAATGATCGAATTATATTTTAGTACAAAACCTCATCGTAAGATAAAAAGAAATACAAAAACGTTATCATATTTTTTTTTATTTGAAACATTTTTAAATTAAAAAATAAATCGTTACCAGCGAAAAAACTAAATCGGAATGTAACTCATATGGATAACATACGCTACTAAAATATTTTTTAAACTTTTTTTTACTTAAGAGGTTTTGCCATCTTAACCTTTTCAACAGCAATTTTTTTTAAAATAACGAATTGTAGTCATTTGATAAAAATGTTGTGATAAATAATAGTAAAATAATAATTACGTATATTTTAATTTAAGAAATATTTATTTGTATTTTATTTCATAAAGATACTAAAATAATAATAGAAATTTTTTTTATGTCTTTGGAGAATTAATTTATGTGGAGTAAATGAAAGAAAACTTATCTTTCGTGATTGATGTTATGGTTAATCAAATAGTCAGCTTCTCAAAACTTAGAAGTTTAATCGATCTTCTTAGAATTAGAAACACACCACTGCCTTGTAAATCTCGTAATTAAAAATGAATGACTCTTAAATTACGTAAAGAAGTTTTTAAAGGAAGAATCGGATTACTCGTATAGTGCTTGCCTGGATGAAATTTGACTGCTATTTTCTATCGTGTCCATTTAAAGATTTTATCAGTTGCAGTTTATTTATGGTTTTTAAAGTGATTATTTTAAGTCACGATGAAAGTGTGTGTTTTGAAACCACTTCAAAAATGTATTTAAATTCTGAAGAAAAAAATTCAACTTAAGTAAACAAATGCAATATCTTGTAACAATCCGATCATACGATCTCCCGGTAATTACGAATTTTTGCATAGAGATATTGTTAATATTTTTTTTTCTATAGATAAAAATTTTGTATATATATTTTCTCTTTTCTGTAGGAATTTTATTAAAGTTTTCGAAATGTTGCACATCCGATTCTCAGAGACTGCACGTATGCCTTAATATTTATTTAGAGAGAGATTATCCTTCGGTCGAAGCCATATTAAAAGCGCAGATCCAGAGTTCTAAGGAATCCAGAGGTGGTCAAGTTTTGATGGAAGGCCCAGATTTAAGTTCCATATGCCAGTAAGTTATATAATTGATTATTTTATTCAACTAACGAAGAAAAAAGTTTGAATAATTTTGTATTATTTTAGAAAAATTGATTCCTTGCAAACCTGTTTGTCCGAGGTTGCCGAAGAATGTAACACTTATTGGCACATTTACAGATTCGACAGAATGATGAGGAGTCTCTTGGCTCTTTATAATCTTCTTTGTGCAAATTCTAAAGATGGACTGAAAGGTAAATTAATTTATATATGCTTTTACGGTATGTAAAATTGCAATCTGCTATTGAAAACGTTTAAAAATTAGGAAAATAATTTACTTTATATTTTTTTAATATAATGACGCCGCTGGTTAACAAATTTAATTCGTTCTATGAAAACAAATGTCAAATGATTGTAAGAAATGGACTCAATCTTATATCCGATCGTTAAATTGGATATAGGGTTTCCATTATATGCTGAAGCCCTGATTCATTTAGAGGCCCAAATAGATGATATTTTTACAGCAAAAAGAAAAAAATTCCTCTCGATTAATGTATGTAAAGATCAGCAAACTAGACACCAAGAATTGGTGGTTGTATTCTATTACCAAGAATATTGGTTGTAGTCCTATTAGACTACAACCAATATTATATGTTGTCAATAATTTCAATTTCGTATTGATTTTATTGTAATCGCAAAAACAATCGAAAATTTAATAAAAAAAAGAAATAAGATATTGAAACAATAAATAGTAAAAAGCAAATTTTTCAAAGTCGTGTCTCCTAACACAATTATTGTGAAGACATGAAAGACTTTTTGTAGAAATTAACGGAGAAGGAAATATCCACCCAACCCTTCATTTACTCGGTTGATTGGTTCCTTGTAAAATCGAAACTCTGTAAATAGAGACTAACATTTGTATGTGGAAAGTGGAGTAATTAGTCAACGAAAACGTCGATGATATTTCTCGATAAAATCCATTATCCAAGTATTTTTTTATTTTTAACTAATTTTATTCTTTATAAATTCACCTTAACTTTGGACTATCGTGAAACTTCATTTCCTCAGTCGGACCCAGTCCCTCTCTACCCGCCCCCATTGCGAGCCTGAATGAACTCATCTGAACTTGAAAAAGATCCTCTTAGTGCCCACATGGCGATAAGAATTAAAAACAAGTGCGCCATGAAGCGACACGAACTGTGGATCAATGAAACCCGAAATTTGCTATACAAATTGTAATTAACTGTTAACAAAAAGCTATTTACAGTTGACAAGTCTCAAATTCTTTCCAATTTAATATCTGTAAATCTTTAAAGTATATGAAAATCATTCTTCAAATAATGATAACTAGAATTTTCTAATGTAAAATCTGAGTTAATAAAATATACAATTTTTTAGATTATTGAAATATTTCAAAAAACTATTATTAAATAATCTACTCGAGTTTAATTTATATTCTAAAATTGCAGTCATTACAGTTGTAATTAAATTTTTACTAGTTGAAAATACATTGATTAACTCCTATAGTTTGTGCGAATACAGCGGTCCCTTTAAGAGAATCTTTATATTGTTTAATTTTACAGATACCCTTTTTATAATAGGTAATGTGTTATATGCACTTTTAATTATTGTATTAATAAAATGACCAAGTTGAATTTTTGAAGTTTTGACATTAATTTTACGACTAAAATTATGGTTAATCAATCCGAAAAATCGATTAAAACCGATCTAAAGAAATCAATGCTTTTAATTAACCACGTCTTACAATTACCGCAATCAAGAATCAAAACGGAAATACCACAAACAGCGACAGGGGAGACATTAAACAGGAAACGCACTTTGCCTCCTCAAAGCCAGTGTGATTTTCTATTGCTTTTCGTCCTCAAGTCATGTTTCACAACTTGACATTTAATTTAGCTAAGCTTAATAATAATATTAAAAGTTGTTCAGTTTGGCCGCTTCTAATTTAAAATTAATTATGGATTCCAAACAATTAAATATTTTTGCAAGTGATATTTTTCATTTAAAATCTTTGATGATTTTGACGGTTTTCGGTTCTGCTGTAGCTGACTATAGTGCACCCAGATATGGGAAACATTGTTTTATCTAAGGCACTTTCGGAAGGGCGTTTTATCCTCCAAAGCAGTTCAATGATGCATTCATAAAATCATAAATTTAGTGTATAAGCAGCACTCAGCTTAGCAGAAACTTATATACAAAACTAATGTACTTGAAATAAAAGTTTCAATTACATAATGTACAGTACAAATATCTTACTTAAAAAATTTACAAATTTCACGCAGGGTACTAAAGTAAAGTATTAATATATAAACCATTAACAACCAATTCATATAAATTTTATATAAAATTTGCAGTAGTGTGTTTAGAGTTTTAGGGAACCAATGTTATACTGTTTAAAAATCAACTTGAAATTTTCTCTTGTAAAAGACCGCTGTACTCTCCATCACCCCTATTTAAACCAAATTCTCTCCGAGGAACCTAGATAAAACTGTGGAAAGGACTTTCGTGTAAAGTACTATAGTAAAGTTCACCTTTACTTTGGACCATTGTGAAAGCTGTGGACACTGAACACTAATAATTCACGACAAAATATAGTCTGAAGATAGGCGTAACATGTTATACCCTTAATTAATTATCCTTATAAAGTTATTATTATATATTATAATAATGAATGTGTTAAAAAGCTGCTAGCTTTGACAATAGTCCAAAGTTATGATGAACTGAACTATAGTGAAATGCCGAAGTCAGATAAATTAAATATAAATTTATTTTTTCATTAATTAATAATAAAATTAAAGGTTTCAGTAATCCCCTCGGTAAATTTTTTGATTCATTTGAACACGCATTGTGTTGTCTTATGAGTCGTACGCACAGTAATTGGTTATAATATACATAAGCAAACGATATTTTGATCAGGCTTCATAGTAAGAACCATATCCCATTATTTTTATGTCGTCATAACTCGGAGATTATCTGTATCCTGAATTCATATTTAGGTTTTAATTAAATTTGAATTTTGAATAACATTTTTAATAAAGTGTTTAAATAAATATAACATTCAAACTTTTATTCCATATATTTTTTAGCTGTATTAACTTATGCAATGTGCATTCGGAATATCGAGTATGTAAAGAATTGTGAGGAAGAGAGTTTTCACTGGGATACAATTTGGAAACAAATGCTGAGACTTCAGATCGATGACGAAATCTGTGAACCTTTAGATCGTCAGAAAAAGTGTGTGGTTCGATGGCTCGAAAATCATAGAAAATGTGGAATTCAAGCGTCCTATGTATATAATTTAACAATGTCCACCTGGTTACAAGCTTGGTGCTCTGCTAGCTGTGAAATTAAGTCATCTACAATATTATTGATAATAAGTTCATTTATAGCATCTCATAATTTTCTCATATCACATCATTAATAGTTTAAAGTAGTCTATTAAATAATTATATTTTAACATTATTAATATTTGCAATTATGTTCATTACTATGTTATTTTGTCATACGTTCTTTAAATCATAACGCTAACTAAAACATTATACAAAGTCAAAAGTGAATATACACCTTTAATTCTGAAGGATTAAGTCATGGTGCATAAATATATCAGAAATGAAATAATTACCTTATAGAAATTATTATTTAAAAATTATCTATGTTCAAATATTTTACAAAATTATAAACTAAATATTTTAAAATTTTTTCTTTCTGAACGGGAAAAATGAAGTCAAAAGTCTTATACACTTGAAATTAACAAAAAAATTGACAAAGTTTGTCAATTTTTTTGTTAATTTCCCAACAATTAATATTTTGTGGGTCTATCTTGATCTTTTACGACAGCTTTTAGTCTTATTGGCATACAATAAACTAGTTTTTTTGTATCTGTAACTGCAATAGAATTCCACACCTCTCTCAATACTTTCTGAAGCGAGTATTTGCGTGTAAGTTTCATTTCCTAATTTATCCTTCATTTTTCCTCATAACTGTTTGATCCAGAATTAACTCTGGTAATTGTTTTGGTGTATGGTAGAGAAGCCATTGCTTCACAGTTTCGGCTGTATATTTTGGATCGTTGTCTTGATGAAAAACCCAGGAGTTTTGCAGGCCTAATTTCGTTATGCTTTTGTTTAAATTTGCTTTCAATATGTTTAAATAGCCAAAGCGACCCGTTCGAGAGTCTACAAAAGCACGTTCTCCTACACTTGAAGCTGCCATTCATCCATAAACCATTCGGAAACCTCCACCATACAGTACTTTACAGTAAATACTAGATTCTTCAGCTGAATGAAGTTCAGAATTTGTAGTTCACGAAACTTTTGAATGTTTTGAGAAGCAAATACCTCAAATTTATATTTATCTAGTAAATAATACATTTTCTCCATATTCTGAAGATCGTCTTTAAATCTTCTTGCAAATAACAAACGCTTTTGACGAATCTTTTACTTATTGTTGGCTTTTTTTCTATGGTACACTGCCATGAAATCCATGGGAATTATATTCTCTTGATGCTACTTGCACTTACTGGCGATCCTTTCACATCAGAGATTTCATGCGTAAGTTTAACAGTATTAGTGTATAGATTCTGTATAATTTTCCGAACTACAGCAATCTCATCCAGAGTCCTTATGAATGAGAGCACATTTTAACATTTCAAGTACAAACCTAAATCACGTATTAATCTTAATACAGAACATTACGGTTGCGTTTCAAAGTAGATAATTTCGGAAGCAAATTATTTCGAGTAAACTTATTATAAAATGCGTATACCACACGAAATTATGTATTCGATAGAAATTCTATGAGCCAACACAATGGCGCATAGTATACGTGAGGTGCACCGATGATCTAAATTTCGAAGAAACATGCTATTATCAATATAGTAGAGCGTCGATTATCCGAAAGAATTCCAGTCCGCAAATTTAAATTTTCGCGTGCTGTGGCGCTGCAATCTTTGGCTATCTCTTGGGCTACTCAAATATTTTACGTTTTTGATGAAGTTTATGAAGTATAATTTTTTATTGTTTTTATATTTTTCAATATATTTATTTTGTTTGTTCAAAATAAAAAAATAATTTTTAACGATAGTCTTCGTTAGGCTTAACATCGACGAAAATTCAACGCAAAGCGACACGGAACGGAGAAAAATTTCAACATGGGATACGTTAATATATTTTTTCGCACACAATTGGTTATCCGAAATCGATTTTCCGAACAACCCGTTCCCAATTGATTCGAGTAATCGACGCTCTACTGTATTTCTTTTAATTCGTATTTTCTAATTATTATTAAAATATACTTTGTGTGTTTTATTTATGTAAAACGATCTTTATATCACTTATCGTTAAATTGAAAATAAAATGTTCATTATCTTAATTATCACCCTGAAACCAGAATCTATAATATGAATACTCAGCATATTATACTGTACTTTAAGTTAGAATATGAACATATTCCTTCTTTTATAAATATTTATGCGTATCAGTTTTAAATTTCGAGTAATGATTTTTAAATTAAAGATAATATAGAGGTTGCGGCTGTCGTTTTTAACGCGAAAACGTGTACGTCGGACGTTCAGCGTCGCCTTCCTGTAAGCCTAGAAGTTTGACAATGGCGTTTGGAACGTCAGCCGCAACCTCTCTAATTATGCTAATGCGGACTCATAGTTTCGTCATCCCCATTCTAACTTGTAAGATAAGAATGTTGAGATCTCGCTTCCATGTTTTGACCAATTAGTGTGACTTAACGATGTTATTCGGAAATTCTTTAGATGGGTATAATTCTAAAAATAATCATTTGAATCGAAGCCTGGATTTGTGGTGTAAACTTAATGATTAATAACGCGAAACATTGGGACGTTGCCAGTGGCGCATTATAACTTCGCGAGTCCCAAGCAAATTTGAATTAGGAGGCCCCAAGTACTGTGTTGATCTTAGGTATTTTTCTTCGGGAATCCCCGATATTCTCGTTCGTTTTTTGACGCGACCTATGGAGGGTTTTAATTGGTTAATACATAATTCATTTGACAGATACAAGCTAATCTGATTAAACATAAAATAAAGACTTATCACTTTTATCTAATAATCTTGGCATTCTTTGAAACAAAATGATAAATATAATACAATTAGTTTATTATTATTTTTTCAATTACTTTGTAATTCATATGTAGTTTTTCAATTAAAAATTTAAACAAAGTAATTTCTTGTAAAACAATAAATTACAGTAAAATGAACAATGTTTATGAAAGAAAATTGCCATAACTTAAAATATTTCAAATTTTAAATGCAATAATGAAGAAAAAGCAAAACTACGAGTAGATAGCGACTATTAAGATTTCAAATTTTCATTCTGTATTGGTATGTTCATTATTTCATATAATTTTACATTTAATTAAACATACAAAATTATTTTTAAAAAATTCGCCAATTCGAAGCAATCATATCTACTGAATAATCGGCAACAGCAATAAAAAAATACTAAATTTGACTACCAGAACTAACAATACAACTGTTCAAACGTGGTACAGCGATTTAGTGGCAGTTACTACTATGTTGCCATTTAATTGATCTGATACATCAAGTAAATAATGAAAATTTTATTTTCACTTCTCGTATCTCAAATTGATATACAGTAGAGTCCCGAAAACTCGGCACTCGATAACCCGGCAATCCGGATAACTCGGCCACATACTGGCAGGGCGAAAAAAACCCCTAGTTCATTTTCATTATAGACAGATTTGTGTTTCATAAAGTATTTTTCTGAGGTCTGTCTTATCAGGTAACTGTACACTGTGTATTCATTAATTTTCATTTTCATGTAGTAGTGGCTCTATGCCTTCATAAAGTACGTACTTTTCCTTTGTTTAAGGATATTTGGGCAGTTTATTCTTTGTTGTATTCTCAAGCAAACAATACATACAAGTATAGTACAGTATTTTCTGAGGACAAGTATACAAGTATAGTACAGTATTTTCTGAGGACTCCACACTCGTACTTATTATTTTTAACGCCATTCCCGATAACCCGGCATTTTCACAAACTCGGCCACCCTTCGGTCCACATTAGGCCGAGTTTTCGGGACTCTACTGTACTGACTCAATTTTTCACTCTCCATCAAGAAGCAAACACGACAGAAAAAATGAAACGTGGATTCGAAACATAATTCTCATTCATTCCCGTAAGGACAATAGCAGTAAAACAGGAACAATTACGAAACCACTAGAAAATAGAACCGTACTGCTACCAATGAAGTAAACCACTTTCTTCATTTCAGTTTCATTCATTTTAAACTCTCCCAATTTTTTATATATACAGCCAAAAATCTACCAAATTGCAATGAAAGAAGATAACAGATTAGTTGTTATAAAATATTGGCGAAGGAAGAATTATGTCATGAACTATTTAATCATGCAAACAGCATAGTTAAAAACAAGTGGCACAAAATCAACTATTCCTTACTTAAAAAAACCAAATGCAAAACTCTGGTGTGTAAACATAAATTACTACTTTTAATTAGTACTAGTTAAAATTTTAAAAAATCATTATTTTATAATTTACAAAAAATTACACTTTGAAATAAATTAATATATGTTTAAAATTAAAAAAAAATTTCATTATTGATAAAATATTCATTAGCAAAATTTTTCAATTGATATTCAGTTATAGATCATAATCAATCCCAAAACAAATCTTTATTAGTCATTCTCAGACTTTTTGTTTCTCCAGATATAAATTTAAAATTATTATTTTTAAAATATTGCAAATTGTAAAAATTTTTAAACCCCACAATCATTTTATATTATTGTAAAAATTACTAGTGTTTATTTATGATATTTTAATATTTTTATTAATTAAATATGAGTTAATTTAATTATAAACTTACTTATATTTTTAAACATTGGAAATGTTAAAGTTTTAATTATTCTACTATGATCAACCTGAAGATGATGTATGAATTAAAGACACATTCCATGAAGATTTCATAAAATTTACACATACTAATGTTTTTATTGTATTATAAAAATATTCAACAATTATAAATTGTTGAATATCATTGGCTTTTGTTTCACTTTATTTTTGTCTAATCAATTATATTGATGATAGATAATAAAGCTGACTGTTATATTTTGTCGGTTTAATTATTAGTTCCATTAAGAAGTACATTTTATCATCAATAAAGAATTTTTAGTATTAGTATATATGTTATTTTTTAGATCATGTAACATTACATATTTAAGCATATTTTATTAATAATGCAGACAATCAAATTTGCTATAAACATTAATTTTGCCATAAAAATGTAGGCAATATTTATAGATATTTTAGTTAGGATTCTAAATAATATATATTATTTAGAATAATAGATATTTTTTAGTTAAAATTCTAAAAATAAAGAGTGACTCATTTTTACAATCTCAAATTTACATAATGATTACTACATTCTTGGAAAAAATCATTTAAATGTAAAGTATTTGATACTTTAATTTCAAAAGCTTAGGAGAAACATGATAAATGTTAACTGGATAATACATACTTGTTACCATGAAAGACCAAAATTAGAGAATGTTAATATTCTGCAGTGAATGTTGACACATACCAAATACATTGATGAAAGACTGAATATTTCGTTATATTATTATATATTTGAACCATCACTGGTGTATGTCGACAAGCACAAATAAGCTCTGATGGAGGTCAAAACAAGCTGATAAGACACAGCTAGAGAGAAGTGACAAAAATGCCAAATCCTTTGTTCTTTCACACTAAATCCTCTGCCGCAATTGAGGTCACATGGCATCTATTTGTTATACTCTCATACTCTCTGCTGTTTGTCAGTCTTATGCAAGGTTTGCTGGTGCATGCAATGTTTGCTTAATTTTTGTTTTTTTATCCGATACCCCAATTTATATTGAATGGCCACTGCAGTAAATTGTGATTTTTTTTTTTTTGAAAAGTTACATGCTAAAACTAAGTGCAGTACACCTTTTGGATTACAGACAATTAAAAGTTTTGACATTTTAAAAATTAATGAAGAAGAGAAGTTAATTGTGCCATTAAACCAGAAAAAATGAATATACAGTATTATGTTACCAATAATGAATTGTTCAGTATATTATTCAAAACTCACACAAGAGTAGGCCATGGAGGAAGAACACGTATGCTTAAAGAATTGCAACTTAAATACAAAAATATTACATATGTGACTGCGGGGTCAGCACCTCTTTCATGCCTTGTCAAAATGACACCACTGGACAGACACAGAACCCAGATTGGCCGCTTATCTCGTTATTTCAAATGGTCGCATGTGTGGACTTTAAGTATCCAGGATGGAGGTGGAAGGAGAGAACCAGAGGAAAATAAACTCCACAAAATTTCATATAAAACAAAAATACCCATATATTATTTGATATAGACTATTTACAGATTATATCTGATAGATTATTAGTCAAAGCTAATCCGAAGTTTACATATTACATAACTACTACGACTAATAACGAGAGAGAGAGAGTTTACATTAATTTTGCGGAAAGATAAATACCTGTAGAATTCACAGAATGATTGGAGGTTTGTACATGTAGGAAATCTTGAAATGGCACCAAGGTCTTTGGAGTGGTGACGAGTGGAATCGTTAGGGCGGCGGCGAATGACTAGTGGCTACCAACACACACACAGTTCACTAAACACTCAAGAACTCCGTCCGACTCATCGGCCCCTTCCTTTTTATCAGGGGTCTGCATTGGGTTTTTCCCATGGCCTTTTTAGGAATTTTCATCATCACCATCCAATAGTTGAATTTTGTGGCAGATTCCGGATGACACACTCAATGTATCATCTTCAACCAGGAAATAAGTCCGCAGGAAAACAGTTTCAATATCTTTAAAAATGTTGGTTTTTGTTTTATCTCTCTAATTTTTTCTCTCAATAAAAAATATATTTAAACAAAATAATTCCACTAAGTTTGGCTCTCACATATATGAAGTTGTAATGTATTTAAATTTATGTAAACAATGTCAAATCAAACAGTGTACCTAAGAAAAGTATTGTGAAATCAATGGTCAGTTTGGAATTAAATGCCGAGTTGATCTGATAGACCTGCAGTTACGCAGGTATGGCAATTACAAGTTCATAATGGTATATCAAGACCATTTAATGAAGTTTGTCCGGTTATGATCATTAAAAACTAAGACAGCTGAAGAAGTACCATATCACCTCCTTCAAATATTTTTAACATTTGATTCCACAGCTATATTGCATTCAGATAATGGTAGAAATTCAGTAATCGAGTCATATCCAAACTATGAGCTAGGTGAAAAAATGTTCAGATAGTTCACAGAAAGCCTCGTAATAGTCAAACACAAGTCTCAGTTGAAAGGGCCAATCAGGATATACGGAATATGTTAACTGCATGGATGAATGATAATGATATAAATAAATGGTCAGATGGTTTGCCCTTTGTTCAATTTGCCAAGAACACAACATAACATGAAGGAATACACCAAAGTCCTTGTGAAGTCCTGTTTGGCATTAAACCAAAAAGAGGCATAGCATCATTATCTTTGCCTGACAAGCAGATCACAAACATTGAAACTGAAGAACAGCTTGAAGAAATTGCTAATACTTTTGAAGAAACTTTGAGCAGTGACCATACCGAAAACCATATTCCAAAGGAAAATATTGAACAGGAGCTGAAACTAACATCTTCATATCAAGCCCTGACTGAACAACATGAGTTTACTTCTATAAAATGAGTGGTTGTGAAAAAGAATATTCTACTGCACCANTCTCTCAATAAAAAATATATTTAAACAAAATAATTCCACTAAGTTTGGCTCTCACATATATGAAGTTGTAATGTATTTAAATTTATGTAAACAATGTCAAATCAAACAGTGTACCTAAGAAAAGTATTGTGAAATCAATGGTCAGTTTGGAGTTAAATGCCGAGTTGATCTGATAGACCTGCAGTTACGCAGGTATGGCAATTACAAGTTCATAATGGTATATCAAGACCATTTAATGAAGTTTGTCTGGTTATGATCATTAAAAACTAAGACAGCTGAAGAAGTACCATATCACCTCCTTCAAATATTTTTAACATTTGATTCCACAGCTATATTGCATTCAGATAATGGTAGAAATTCAGTAATCGAGTCATATCCAAACTATGCGCTAGGTGAAAAAATGTTCAGATAGTTCACAGAAAGCCTCGTAATAGTCAAACACAAGTCTCAGTTGAAAGGGCCAATCAGGATATACGGAATATGTTAACTGCATGGATGAATGATAATGATATAAATAAATGGTCAGATGGTTTGCCCTTTGTTCAATTTGCCAAGAACACAACATAACATGAAGGAATACACCAAAGTCCTTGTGAAGTCCTGTTTGGCATTAAACCAAAAAGAGGCATAGCATCATTATCTTTGCCTGACAAGCAGATCACAAACATTGAAACTGAAGAACAGCTTGAAGAAATTGCTAATACTTTTGAAGAAACTTTGAGCAGTGACCATACCGAAAACTATATTCCAAAGGAAAATATTGAACAGGAGCTGAAACTAACATCTTCATATCAAGCCCTGACTGAACAACATGAGTTTACTTCTATAAAATGAGTGGTTGTGAAAAAGAATATTCTACTGCACCAATGAAAATGTTGCAAAACTCAAAAAGAAAATTTCCTCCTGCTCAAATTAGTGATACCGTATGAATACAAGTCCCTGATGTCAACCATGGTCGTAACAGATGCCCAAAATGTGTTGACAGTTGTTGCTGGAATAGAAGACACTAACTTTTATACATTAGAAAACAAAAATGGTACCCTCAAGTAGCTTTATACCCATAATCAGTTCGTAATTTGTAAAGAAAAGTTACTTTCCATAGATGAGATTTCTTCTTAAGAAATGTCACTGAGAGAAGCAGCTGCAACTAATTCAAGAAGTTGAGGGCAAGGCTATACATGCTGTAATTGCAAAAAGAAGTGTTCCATGACTAAATGCAGTTGTAAAAGCAAGGGACTCTTGTGCAATTCAAAGTGCCATAACAGTTTAAGTTGTTGCAATAAATAAGATTGTATAATGTTAATCACATAATTTATGTGTAAGTTTATTATTGTATTATTTTCTTTAATGATTTAGAATGTACTGTTCGTTTTAGGTTCAACAGTTTATTTGTGTGTGCTGTTGCTTATCTTATTTTGACATAAACAGTATCACATCATTTCTCATATTTTGACATATATCATATATTAAAAAATTACATTTTGTCTTAACATAATAAAAATATTTTTATTCAACATTCACCATCAGTGCATGCTGAATGTTGATATTTCCTGGTGTAAGTGAGAAATAATGATATTTAGCAAATATTTCATACATACACCAAATGACTATGTGAATGCTAACATTCACCAGAGAATATCAACATTTGCCAGATATCGATCTTTCACAGTAACATATTCATTACTATAATGAATCTAATTATAAAAAATTTTAAAATAAAAACAAATACAAATTTTTTATTGAACAATTTTATTAACCAGTCCCAAACAAATGGCGCAAATTTTGGCAAATAAATCTGCCAAATATGAACAAACAGATATTTTGACAATTGAAAAGCAATTATTGTACATTTGCATCCAAAATATGAGACCGGTAAGAATCGTCATCATCTTAACGGCACATCCATAATTTAATTAAAAAAGTGGCACTTCACGTAATCAGTTCAATCATAATTAATTACAATCAAATTGGCCATCTTTTTAATTTTTTTATTTCAAACTATCTAATGTCCAGAATTTTAAACTTATGCTCTTGGAGAGTTCAGTTTATTCTAATATTTTTCTCAAGAAAAAAAAAAAAACTGATTTTAAGAATTCTGCAACTAGCATATCTGCTTATCATTTAAGCAATCACTTATCTAATTGATTTAATTACTACAATTGAAATGCATAATTTTAAGCAAACTACAATTCTGGACACACAATAGTTGGAATTCAGTTCATTCGTTACAAATATGAGCAAACATTTTATATTTAATAAAACAATTTTGATAAAATTTTAATCTTATACAGAATATAATGTATATATAATTATTATTTTTTTATTTCTCTCATTTATTTAAGAACTTATTGCAAAATAAAAAAGACAAGTATATTCTCTTATCTTTTAAAAAAGATAAACAGAAATTAATAGCAAAGCAAAATATAAAGCATGAAAATAATCATTTTTAACAAATATCACTGTGATGGAAGCAAAGCAAATTCTTAATTGCAATTAATTATAATAGATAAAAGGCTACCTAATTAATAATCTTCTCCTCTGCTTACAACCTCTTTGCAAGTAGGACGCAAGAGTATGGTATGTTCAAATTGTGCTGTGTAGGAGCCTTTAATATCACTGAGTGGAGGATAAGAGTCAACAATACCTTTGTCACAAAGATCTTTCAAAGCCATTAAGTATTTGGTTTGTCCAAGTCTATCCAACCATCTCCGACAGAAGGCTAATGTTCCGAAATGTTGATTAATCACATTTAACAACTGTTTAGATCTAGCCAACCTAAATAAAGAAAAACTTTAAATTAAATTAATTCTAACAAAATTATGAAATTAGTCAATAGCTTTGTATTAATTATAAAACAATAAATTATAAGGCAAGGTTAAAAAAAACTTTATAAATGTGTTAAATTTTATATTAAAAATAAAAAATATGAATGACAAATATTAGTTTATTAAGCTTCAGCTTATAGCTAATGTTACTAAGTATGCAGTTCTGTTTTGACATCTTATAAATTTTTATATGGTCCACACAAGGAATTAGTACATCATGTGTTCATCACTATAACTGAGTTTATGGTGTAATTCAGGGATGTCAAAATATGATATTACAGTGGTGCCTCGTCTAACGTACACCTCGAATAACGGATGCTGCGAACAATGGACTTTCTGTTTGGCCGTTACGTGACTCGAGCAACGGACTGGTTGCGAACAACGAACTTTCCGTTCGGCAGTTATGTGAGGTGAACAACGGTCTTTCTGTGAACAAGTGCGAATGATGTTTCCACTCTTTTGCCGTTGCCAATGACAATCTGCTATTTTTATAATATATTATTATTATATCTGAAGTACAGAGCTCCCGTTGGGATTCAACTTGCTCCCTTGTTTATTACATACATCACCTCAGTGCAGAGTATTTACATTTATTCAAGTGTTGTGCAAATCATGGCTTCTAAAAAAACAGAAAGGTAATTTCAATTGAAACAAAGTAAGACATCATCAGAAGGAGTGAAAGTTGACAAAACTTCCTTGTCAAATGGGGAGAAGTTAAGGAGTTACACTCATTATCCAGAGCTGAGGCCAACAGGATCAATGACACCCTTGCCCGTCATTTCCGACAGGTGTTGAAGAAGAGAGAGAAACAGACCACCTTGGACATGTTTTTCAAGAAGCCAGCAGGCAAAAAGAAAGGATGGAACAAGAGGAGATGACCCTGCAAGCTTCGGTAGCCTCTCCTGAATCTGACTCCAATTAAAAAACAATAAAAAAAGAACTGCTGAAATGTGTACAAAGTCTGTATCTGTATGAATGTGTAAAGAAAGTGTTCCTCCACCTCCTCCTCACAACATCTGACTACCCGGCATAATTGGTGACTGCTCCATTTTCATTTTTTTATGGTATAGTACGGTTATTTTATGCTGTGGAACGAATTATATGTTTTAACATGTATTTCTATGGGAAAATGCGTTTCGTATAACGGACGTTTCACTTAATGGACATGCACCTGGAACGGATTAAGTACGTTATACGAGGCACCACTGTAATATGATTAAACTGCTATTTGTTACCAGGAAACATTAGCTTTATTTTTATTTAAAGACTTAAAAAGGAATCATTAAAACACATTAAAATTTATTCTATGGGCAATTATTACTTTTTTATTTAAATGTTAACACTTTTGATCATTTACATGTTCCATTAGAAATACACATTATTTGTCATACTATTTTTATTGAAATTCATTATATCACAGATAAGTATATAAATAAAAATACAATCATTAAATCTGTGTATATATTCACATATATATTAAAAGCAAAATGTTCTGTCACCACTGCACAAAAATAATGTAAATTTAAAATTTCAATTTCATTTTGGTGTAAAGTAGCTACCTAATATTGATATCTGCAGGGTTCCAACATTTGTTATTAAGGTGAAAAGGTTTCTGTGATAAAAATAAATTGGGAATCACTGCTCTAGTATATGTAACATGATATGATATATATATTCATGACTAGTCCTGATTTTATTTTTGAAGTATGTGTTACTGTAAAAGACCAAAATTAGAGAATGTCGACACATACAAAATATGTCAGTGAAAGACCAAATATTTGGTTATATTATTACACATTCGAACAATCACCTGTGTATGTCGACAGCACATAAGCTTTGGTGGAGGTTGAAGAAATTGTTAATACTTTTGAAGAAAATTTGAGCAGTGGCCATAACGAATACCATATTCCAAAGGAAAATATTGAACAGGAGCTGAAACTTACCATGTCTTCATATCAAGCCCTGACTGAACAACATGAAGTTATTTCTATAAAAAAGTGGCCGCAAAAGAGAACCTTCTACGGCAAGCAACGAAAATGTTACAAAACTCAAAAAGAAAATTTTCTCCTGCTCAAATTGGTGATACCGTACGAATACAAGTCCCTGATGTCGACCATGGTCGTACAGATGCCCAAAATGTGTTGACAGTTGTTGCTGGAATAGAAGACTCTAACTTTTATAAATTAGAAAATAAAAATGGTACTCTCAAGCAGCTTTATACCCATAATCAGTTCATAATTTGTAAAGAAAAGTTACTTTCCATAGATGAGATTTGCACTAAATGCAAATCTCTAATGACTAAATGCAGTTGTAAAAGCAAGGGACTCTTGTGCAATTCAAAGTGCCATAATAGTTTAAGTTGTTGCAATAAATAAGATTGTATAATGTTAATCACATAATTTATGTGTAAGTTTATTATTGTATTATTTTCTTTAACGATTTAGAATGTACTGTTTGTTTTAGGTTCAATAGTTTATTTACATGTGCTGTTATTTAAGCTTTCTCCTATTTTGACATATTAAAAAGTTGCATTTTTGTCTCAACATAATAAAATGTTTTTATTCAACATTCACCATCAGTGCATGAATGTCAACATTTGCTGGTGTAAGTGAGAAATAATGATATTTAGCAAATATTTCGTACATACATGAAATGACTGTGTGAATGCTGATATTCACTGGAGAATGTTGACATTTGCAGATATTGGTCATTCACAGTAACATATGCAACAATTAGGAGTAAGGCCAAAAACAATATATTGTTAGTAAAGTCATAGCAGTAAGCTTTTAATGCACTACAAATGTTCAATGTGAGATCTTCCAAATGTTAAGGTGCTAATCCATCTCAGACCAAAGTCAATGTAGAGTATAGATATCATTTGTATTGATGGCTGAGCAATTCTCAGAGGTTGTGAGGTTAATCACATTCTTTTACATTATGCAAAAATGGAGCATTACAAAAGTGGCAATAAAATGTTTTATTTGAAATTGAGCCACTTTCCATTCTTATTGTCACACTTGCTTCCATTTCGTCACTCTTGAACATTTCCCAGCAAGAGTAATAGGTATCATCTGGAATTCTCCATTCAACCTACAACTAAAATGACTGAACAATGAGTGTTTCTTCTGTTCTAATCACCATCTGATGATTTGGCAAAATAAATTTTTTAACCTGGCAATTTTTCTATACCATATATGTGTTCAAATTTTTTCTTAAAAATGGGGACTATAGTTAAGCCTAGGCAAACTACACATTTACAATTGCCTAGGATTAATCAATCAATTCGTTAACTTTTATTTCTTTAAATGGTTAAAGAACAAACCATTATATACAGTAAAACCTGCATAAACCAGAATTGCATGGTACCGAATATTTTTTCCAGTTTTGCAGTTTTTAACAGAAAATTGCTCCATTCTGAAGAATTTTTCCTGTTTAAGTAAGTTTCCATTTTATTCAGATTCTGTTTTGAACAGATTTTACTGTAGTTGTAATATAATAATTTTCATGTTTTTTGGATAACTATAATAAATAAATAATTATTTCTTTAGTGGTTAAGATCATGAGTTTTGCTTAGGGCCTGAAATCTCTTTACTTCCTTAAGATCAGTTTGAGGGTAGGTGTTAATGAAATAGTATAAAAAATCAAAACAAAAGTGTAAATTATTATAAATAATTTTAATTCAAACTGTAGAGTTTTTTATTTTTCAATTTCCATTTTAATAATTTGTAATAATTTTAATTGTGTAACAAGAGTGTTAATTTCAGATTAATTTTTCCTGTTATTATTTTTATAAAATTCAGAAAATTTACAAAGGGACAAACTTAATAAATTTTATACTTTTGTAACATTTATAAGATTTATTAATGAATAATAAATAAAATAATTAAAAACGATAATTCCTTAGAAAGAACATTCAATTAAAAACAGTCTGCAATAAATTGATACAATGCTTTTCATTTTGTTGAAATCACAAGATGAAGATGGTTAGACTAAATTTTGTCTCTTATTACATTCAGTACTCTCAAGATGTGACAATAGTCTTAAAAGTCATGAGTTTGTTGAAGTAATAAACTAAAGGTAAACAAGCCAACAAGAAATGATTAATGGCAAAAAAGTGTGAAAAGTAGCAAAAAATAAAATAAAAATAAAAAAAATAAGGTCATAATTTTGGAAAACTTCATTGTAATGGTAATATAAAGACATCTTTAACATGGCCAAAAAAAAAGTAAATCGCTTGGGATTATATCTGGTTCATGGCACCTACAGGCCAGGTTTTAATAGGTGTTTTGCAGTACACAGACAATTCTCATTTTAACATTTCCAGTAACTCTTGTTGGTTGGTAAAATTCTTACCAAATTGTCTCTGAATTTACACTGAACTGCTACATCAATTTGTCTTTGCAAACTTATACATACAGAATGCATTCTAAGACTTTGTTGCCATTTTCAGACATCTGAGAACTAAGTCACAATCAAAAAGATTTTAATAATGATCTTTCAAATAGTATATTGTTCTTGGTTGTATTCCTGCATTCCTGGATATAGACTATTTAC